TATATATATATATATATATATATATACAAGGCTACAGTTACTAAGGTAGATAAGGAGAGTAAGACAGTTAGTATACACGAATAGAGGAAGAAAAAGAAATAAAAAAGAAATAAATAATAATTATTTATATTATTTATATATACCTAATATATAAATAATTATTTTTATTATATGTATATACACCTAAATATATTTCTTCTTTTTGTTTATCTGTGGGGCTTTCTTATAGTATTTATGCAGCAGCAGCAATAGCAGCAGCAGCAAGAGTAGCAGCAGCAGCAATAGCAGCAGCAGCATTAATAATAGGGTATATAAATATATATTAAGGGAGAAGAATAATTATATTTATAAAAGAATTAATATAATAATAATAATTATTATTATTATTATTATTATTATTTTAACAATTATCTTTTTATTATATCCTTTCTATCCCTTATTATACTATGCAGAGTGTAGGGTGTACATACACCCCAATAATAATAACCATCAATTTCTTTTTTTTTTTTATTGGCGCGATTATTGAGTAGGAATAAACAATTAAAATAAATAAAAATAAATATTTATTTATATAATATATTTATTAATTACTTTTGTAGGTGTTGAGGAGAAAAAGAAGAAAAAAAGAAGAAAAAGAAAAGACTGGAGGATTCAATATTTTTATTGTCTGTCTTATTCATCTTTTTTTGTGTATATATAAAAGATCCTTTTTTTTTACTGCCTTATATAATAAAATAAATATATTTAATTAAATTATAAATAAATATAATTAATTAAATATATATTTATATATAATCTTCTTCTTTTTTCCCTCTTTTTCTTGCTATAAGAAAAAAAAGAAAAAAAAAACGCATGCAGCAGCATCGACGACCCCCGTCATGAACACCCCCCCTCTACCACCGCCTCCTGTGCATAATCATGAGGAGTAGGGGATAAAAATGTTCATAAAAGGATAAAATAAAGAAATAAATATAAATAAATTAATTATAAATAAATATAAATTGAAATATTTTCCATTTTTATTCAACTTTTGTGTTTTTCTTCTCTTTTCTTGTATTCTTTGTTGGGGTGTCTATGCATGCATACTATAACTATTGCATGCAGGAGAGGAAACAACAGTACATATATATATACATATATCTATGAATTATGCATATGAATAATATTTTATTTTTTTTATTTTAATTACTTTTATACATGCATAAATATCCGCAACAATTTATTTTGCTGCTGCTGCAGCAAGCTGCAATAGCAGCAAACCCTGGAGCCCAACCACCACCAGGTGTATATACACCCCAATATAATTAATACTCAATGTATATATTTGTGTAGCTATTGATCTCTTTATTACTTCTTTCTTTCTTATTGCTTCTTCCCTTTTTTTTTATAATTGTATAAAGGAATAACACTAACATATTATTAAGAAAAGTTTATTAAGAAAAAAAAAAAAGAAAAAAAAAAGAAGAGGAAATGCCGCAAATATTTCTTCCTCAAGTTTTGTGGCACTGCAAAAATAACCGACTTGCAGATAGGGTCTATTCAGTGGATATACAGCCGATTAACTGCAGCAGCAGCAGCAGCAACAGCAGCAGCAGCAACAACAGCAGCAGCAGCAGCAGCGGCAACACTGCAG